GATAGATATATAGTGGCATTATGTCATTATTTGAGCTCATCTGTCTTTGGTAACAGTAAGTATGTCAGCACAAAAATAACTTCCTGTGCACTTTTGTATAACTATATAAACAGTAGCACCAGTATATCGTTTGTCCACCAGAGAGTGCTGACTTTAATAACATAATGTCAGGGATCCTTATCAAAACTGTATTTATCTCAGCATTTTGTTTAAACTCTAGACGTCCACCTTAAAGAATATCGTCTTGGTCTTGAAGTCATTCTTGATACCTGCAGTGAATTTTAATTTTCATGGTGCTGTTGAGTCTGTTAGGGCTGTACCAACGTCATATAATGTCAATATTGTCTGTTTTTGAATCTGTATCAGCTTTAAAGCTACTGCCAGTTTTGTCCAATTGTATAACATAGTCTTATTTTTCACTGAAACAAAAGTCAAACTAGCAAAATAACTACTGTAATTACATCAAGCATGTATGAAAACTATCATCAAAAACCACATTGGGCTTATTGTTCTGTAACTTTTCAAGTCTTCACGTAATAAAGGGCTGCATAAATAACCTTTAACCTGAATGTCTGATTTCCTTCTTCCCAGTGTCTGCTCATGTTGATGGACAGTCCACTGAACAGGGCAGGCCTGTTGCAGGTTTACATCCACACAGAGAAAAACGCATTAATAGAGATCAACCCACAGACCCGCATCCCAAGAACATTCAGTCGCTTCTGTGGCCTTATGGGTAACCAGTGTTGAATACTGTCTGTGTATAAACTCTATATAAGTTTAGTTGGTCTCTGTGCAGTCAGCTGTGTTATGGTTACATATATCCTAAACTCCTCCTCTCCTTAGCTGATTATCCTCTCTTCTCTTCTTCCATCTTAGTTCAGCTGCTGCACAAGCTGAGCGTCCGGGCTGCCGATGGTCCTCAGAAGCTTCTGAGGATGATTAAAAACCCAGTGTCTGACCACCTGCCTCCTGGCTGCCCCCGCATGGCCACCTCGTTCTCTTCCGGAGAGGCTGTCTGCCCCCGGACTTTGGTGCCAGAGGGACCGGCTGCAGTGGTGATTGGAGCATTTGCACACGGAGCGGTGAGAAAAGGCTCTAGATGGCGATCGCCGAGTCACTACTTTCAGCGTCAAATATCTGAGTTACTGATCTCCTTGTCTTCAATAGGTAAACGTGGACTACACAGAGAAGACCGTGTCCATCAGTAACTACCCCCTCTCTGCTGCACTGACCTGTGCCAAGATGTGCTCTGCCTTCGAGGAGGTGTGGGGTGTCCTGTGACAAACACTCAGTGAACTACTGATGTTGACCAGGCAGAGACAGTAGAGTACATGGACAATTTTTTAATGGACTAGGAATGGATATTTAACGGAAACGTTGGGCCGAATGTCCATTTCACCAGTGATGCAACGTGGACTACAGACATGTATCCTGTTATACACTGTATGTGTATACTTGTGTGATTTGGAATATACATATGTTTCTATACCCAGTTTCCCTTTTTCATGTATAAGACTGTTTTTTGTACCATTATCAGTTGCACCAATTATCAAGTTTTGGATTATCACACAATACAGTTACATTAAAACATATGACCAAATAATGAGTGACTTTGTTTCATATCAACAGAGAAGAGTTCACAGAAGGAAATAAGATGCACAGTGGAGACTGAATACTATGAGATAATAAAGTACATGAGTTTCCCTGAGACCGTGTTAGTGTAAAATGAAAATAAGATGGCAGAAAATACGTTTTCAACATGGTTGATGCATCAAAAGAGAATATACGAGGTCAGGTTGTGAGAGAGGTTTGAGTTTATTACTGCTCACCATAAATTACTCTGAATGCTTATTTTAATAGTGGTAAGCTGCTCTCCTGGTAACCGGGCGTCGCCGAGTTCTCATTCTTTGTCTTATTGTTGGAAGCCTCCATCTTGGTGACTGTCTTTTCCGGGATGTTTTATACGGCTGTTGGTTTTGCTTTGGTCGACGTCTCCGAGCCGTTTGGGCCTTCCTTGGTGCCTTTCGAACCCGTACGGTTTGGTTTGTTGCAGATCTGCGTTTCTTCCCTGCTGGCTTTGGTGATTTTCTTCTTGGTTTGGCTGTCTTCCTTATTGGTTTGTGCGATTTGGCTGCAGCTTTGCGAGTTTTGCTGGTTGGTTTTTGTGACCTAGTTACTGCTTTACGAGTTGTGCCTGTTGGCTTGTGCGATCCGGTAACAGCTTTATGAGTTGTGCCGGTTGGCTTGTGCGATCCGGTAACAGCTTCATGAATTGTGACGGTCTGGGCTTGTGCGACATCCGGTCAAGCGCTTTCAATGCAGTGTGCCGGTTGGCTTTGTGCGTCCGGTCAACAGCTTTACGAGCTTGTGCCGGTTGGCTTGTGGCGATCCGGTAAAGCTTCATGAGTTGTGCCGGGTTCGGCGTTGTGGCGATCCCCGGTTACAGGCTTTATGAGTTTGTGCCCGGTTGGCTTGTGCGTCCACGGCTAAAAGGCTTTATGCAGTTCGCTCGCGCCGCGTTGGCTTGCTGCGCATCGGTAACCTTTAGTGCGTTTGTGCCGGTTGGCTTGTGCGATCTTGTGCCGGTTGGCTTGTGCGATCCGGTAACAGCTTTATGAGTTGTGCCGGTTGGCTTGTGCGATCTGGCTGCTGGTTTGGGAGTCTCGCTTTTTGGTTCGGGAGTCTTTCTGGCTTGTCTCTGTGACTTTTCGGCTTCTTTGGAGGATTTGATGGCTGTTTTGATCAGCTTCACATCTTTTGGTTTTACTTGCTTTGTGTCTGTCTGTTTCTGATTTTTGTAGGAAGGATTAAAAATGAATTATTACAAGTAATTTTTAAATTACTGTTGACAAGACAAACTTGTACATTTAAATATAAATATCAAGTCAACACCGCACCACATAGGGAAGAACACTGCTGCTCATAAATCCCAAGCCCAAATGTACAGGTTACCAAATTATACAGGCATAGGTTCTTTACCTTATTGTTGAGTCTGAATGATATACTTCTTGTAGTTCGTACAAGTGCCTCATTGTTAACCAGCCTTTTAGTCACCACGTTCACCTTCCTGCTGTTCTTGGTGACATTGTAGCCCTCAGCAGCCAGCGTCTGCTTGAGCTCGGCCATAGACATGCCACCTCGGTGTTTGCATTGAGAGACCACACTGAGGATGAGCTGGGAGACCTGAGGCGAGGCGGGCCTTGCAGTGTTTGTCTTGGGTGCATTCTCGACCCCACTTTTAATCTGATGCTTGAAAAGGCGAACAGGAGTCTCTGAAAGATCAATAAAGACCAGAAAAAAATATAATAAATTAAATAGAGGATACAAGAATACAGAATCTGCATCTTAAGATAGGGTAAATATTAACATATAGTCTAATATAAATGTAAAAGTAGTAAAGTCAGTCAAGACTATCATCTATATAATTCTATTTTATTGTAGCTGTTTATTTTGTAGTAATATGGATGAGTTGGCAAAATTCTACAATTTTAAATAAACATCACATTGTTGGTATTTTATAAGTTTTATAAGTAGACTGAATATATTTAAATTTGACCACTATTAGGTCAATTTTAAATACATACAGGTTTCAGCATCTTTGCCTAGAATTGCATTCTTGTTGGTACAGAGAGAGCTTTGAAACAGCAGCTAGACCTTCATGTTAGGAATTAAAATGTACAGAAAGTGTCAATGAATAATATAGTATAATAATACGGTAGCATATTGCTGCCACGCCAGAAAAAAAATAGGATCAGTATTCCCTTATAAAGTGAATTGTATTGTATTACAATATACTTTAATGTTTTTAGTACATATCAAGTTATAACATGAAAACATTTTGTTCTAACAATGTAGAGTTATCACCTTATAACATGAAACGTTTCACATTATAACAAGATAAATAGTATGTAATGCTATTTATAACAACAAAAGTTTCTTGTAAACAAAACTCCCCATGCACTTCCAACAACAGTCAGGTTGTAGTAGTAAAACATCAAAATGAACCAACACACACAGGAATAACTTCACTGTGATTTATTAGTAATTCCAGTGTGCAGTGGTTTATTTTTATTTTTTATGAAACAAAAAAGTTTGCATATCGTAATAATGAGAAAATATCTTGTTATAATGTGAGAAACGCCTTGTTAGAATAAACTTTTCATGTTATAATATGATAGTGATCATTTTTTTATTTTTCTGGTGTGGCAGCAAATACGCTTATGTAGATAAAATAAAATTATAATATAATATAATATAGTAAAATTAATGATATTAACTGTATACTTGATAATGCACTTGATTTAATTTCTCTATTTATTGATTAAAAAAATATAAAAATTAGTTTCCTAGCAACGCCTCATCCGCCTATGACGTCCTGACCCCAGGGTAAATAAAGTCTAACAATAACAATGACATTACCAGCTCGGCTAAACGTTGGCTGGAGCAAGTTGGAATAGTAACAAAAAAGACTTGACTAAAAACCACAAGATAAAAACATATATTATCTGTACATATATTATTAATTAAGTTTAAATATTGCTTTGAATAGCTAGCTAGCTAACAGCTAAAACACGTAGCTAAGTTAGCATCCCGTTAGCCGCCACTCACTCGGCAGAGAAGACACTTTCCCCTTCGCGCTGACCTCCTCCTGGACCTGGATGGCTCGTTTCAATAGTCGGCCCAAACGCTTGGCTCCTGCTTTCCCGAGTCCTTTCCCAGTCGGAGTTTTAGTCGGTCTCCCTATTTGTTTTAACACCTTCAAATGTGTCTTTTCTCTGGCTTTAATGTTGATGTTAGCGTTGCCCTGTGCGCCCCTGGGTGAGGCTTTTTTAGGAGTAGCTTTCCCCCGCATTTTTGCTGCTGCAAGCCTATTTCATATTTCAGAAAAGAAATCGGAAAACTGCCCAGCTGATTGTTTGACAGGCACACAATGACCTGATTTTCAAATGCAAATGTTTTTGTGGTTTGGTTTGAAAGATAACAATAATTGAGTTGCTGTGAGACTGCAGGTCCAGAACCAGCAGGCAAAACTACACTGAAACTTAATTAGGAGTTCAGTTAAAGTGTGCCTGACTTCTACCTAATCAATACTTA